CTTTCAGTGTATTACAGAAAAGATTGTTGCCTCATTATGAACTGATCTAATGTGACTTTTGTCCACACTGCAAGACGCAACCGAGTGGAAAATGTGCGACGACGTTGACAACTCTAAGGGGCGTCAAATTTGATCAGTTTGAGCGGCCGCTAAGGGAGGGCGGGCTGGCTGGCTGGCTGGCTCCTCTAATGGGCTAACATTTACACTCGGCAAATGGCTTACTGCGGAGTTCATTGAATGCAAATGCTGCACGTGTTTGGTGGAAATGCTTCGGAAATAATGTCGACGTCTATTAGGAACGGGCCGCGTTAATGGGCCAATCAGTGCATGGAAGTTGCGAATAGGAATGCAAATGTGAAGTAATCAAGAAAAGAATGAAGACGAGGAGTTTACAATGACTTGAGATAAAATCAAGCTGAATGAAGTGATAGATATATGAATGGGTTCAGAATGTGATGCGTAGAAAAAGAGCTAAGACAATTCAAAAGTGCGAAAAATTGAAGTAGATTAAGATTAAAGAATAAATAATTTAAGGTTAAGCTTAACATAATTTGTTAAATATTCCATTATGTTCTGTTATATTAAATATATATGTATGTGTATATTTTTAATTTTCTATCATATCACTTCAGTTCATTGGATATTCGACTCTTCGACTCTTTGTGTAAATAATACTTAAACAACATACAATGCCCACGCACACACACACACACACACATCTAGAGTACATAATGCGATATGACTGACGTAATCGGCTTTATATGTCTATACACAAACGTAAGCATTTCTCCAACCAAAACCGTATTCTATTCTTCTACATGATGAGGTCATGACAATATCTATGAGAGTATGTCAACAGTTTAACACTCGGGTAAACATTTGACTGGCGGCGCTGACCAAAATGAATAATACTCCTATCTCTGCTCTCTCTTTGTTGTAGCTGAACGATTAGTATAATTTTCATACACACATATGCTTTATAGATATTCATAAATTTTTATATTATTAATTAAATTAATCAAACTCACATTAGCGGCACGCACGCTTGTACGGTCTTCAGACCGGGTTCTCGTTGGGTCACTTGAATCGACGCGAATCGAATCAACTTTGGGAAGTCATTAGAGTGCGGCCATAACAAACGAGAGGGGAGGCTAGAGAGTTGAAGTAATAGAGCGCCAATGGAGCGAAGAAGCGTCGTTATTAACTGCCAAATGATTTCTTTCATTCGTTCAATGAACTTGCCACAATAAATGGCAACAGGCAAATCAAAGCGATATTAATAATCGCCAATCAAAATGCTAATCGTATTAATGGCCCATTTCGGATTGACGGGTATGGAATGAGTGGAATGGAACACCAAGACAAAATCAGCCTCTTTCTCTTTCTATGACTCTAAATGAAAATCGTGGCTATGGAAAAACCAGAATCTCGCAACTAAAACCAGAAAAGCAAAACACAAAAGCAAAACTCTACTTAGCTGACATCATTTAAAAGAACTCAGAGACTAGAAAGCTCAACGAGTCTCTGAGACATACGAGTATTTCAATGTATTTATGGAGATCATGTCTGGGCCATGCCTGTTTGGCATTGCAAATCTCAGCGGAGTTGCAGAACCAGGAAGCGCACTAAAATGARGCAACAAACAAACAAAAATTACAAAGCCAAATTGTGGCAGTTGCAATTTCAGTTGCAAAGAGTGGCAAAGTTTTGCTAGTCGAACGTGCCAGAACTTCATAAAGGAGGTGAAAGTTTCACTCCGAGTTTGATAGAGAATAGAATAAAGAAAAATGGAATAGTAAATACTAAACAATATTATTTCGCGGGCTAAAAACTATTTGCAGCAATTTTTTTCACATAATCTTTGACTCACTTCTTATGAATATATACAGAAAGAACAATACAATGTTCACTCTTTTATTTTATATTTCACTCTAAATATAAATGAATTGTTTTAAGAACTTTTTCATTAAAGTCAAACTTTTTACCAAAGCCAAATCAAACTGGTAAGCTAGAGCTGCAAAATTTATTGCTATCGATTGTAATTACTCAAGTAGTTTAATTCTACTTTTTTGCAACTTGAAAGTAATTTTTCCAGTTTTTTTACAGTTTTTCATCTCTCTTTGCTAATGCAAATCGTTTCCAATAAAAAAAAGTGAGGAAAGCAGAGGAAGGAAAGCATAACAGGAATTCCTATACAACAACAAAAACTGTGCTAGAGCCCGGCTTGTTGCTGTTCGCTTACTGTTAAATGATTGTGTGTAACGGTATTCTTTTAATGATGGCTAATAACTCGGCAATGACAACAGCAACAACAACGACACAGAGAATACAGCATACATACACATATAGAACCCAAAGAATTTCTGTAGGCATTTTCCCCATGGCCTGTAGAAAATAATTGGTCAACAGCAACAAGCACCGATAGAGAGTGGGGAACAAACTTTTGCCGCCGGACATGACAGCAACAAGAACAGCAACAAATGTAATACAAAATAACAGCAACAACAACAACAGCAACAACAACCGCAACGGCACAGCAACATGTAGAAGAACAATAGCAACAAGTTGGTAAAGACAGGAAGCCATAGGAAACATTGTCAGCTACACCCAACGTGACATCATCAAAATAATATAAATAAAAAACTGCCACGAATAGGCATGGCTAAGCGATACCCTGCAAAAAATTATAGCTACTTTAAATAAGTAATGTAAAAATATAATCTTTTACATTAAAAATTGCACTATTTACTTAGAAAAAAAATACAGTTTATATCATACTCGGGTTATGCATAGATTATCCCCTATATAAAAGTCTTTACAGGGTATCAACAACTACTAGATACAATTGTGTGCTGGTAATCCAACGACCAGGCTGCGCGTTTGGCTTTCACGATTGCAATTAAAGGGCGTATGAGAGAAGACAGAGATAGACAGAGAGAGGGCTAGAGGCGAACGAAAGGGAAGCAGACTTAAGTAAGCAGCCAACAGACCGACAGATGCCAATGACCCAGGGGCGTAACTGATGATGACCATTAMCAACAACATTAACATTAACATTTAACATTAAACATTACGATGATGATGAGGCGCAATAAAAGTGTTTAGGGTAATGGTAAAAAGCCAAACGCGAAAATAAACAACAATTAAAAACTGAACGCAAATGCGTAACGAAACAACAACAGAGCGAGACGGTGCGACATCGGGCAATGAGCACGCTGAATAAAAATAAAGGAAAGAAGGCAGACAACAATAACTAAAACGTAAAACAACAACAGACTCCAGCTTAACATGAGCGTAGCTTTACACACACGCACACACACAGAGACAGTGCACAAGACAATGACCCAGAGCAAGAGAGCGGCAACATCGAAGAAGAGTCATTAACATGAGCTTGAACTAGTTGCCCAGGCAACATGTTGACAGAGCGAGCGGAAGAGAGCGCATGATCAACTGCTGCCTGCTGCTTGGGTTGCGGCGACTGCCTAGGCCAAGGTCAGCTTTGCAACATGTTGACAGCATGCACTTGTGCGTATAGCGTGCGATGTTGCAATTGCTCATGTTGCCAGCCGCAAATGTTGCGTGTCATCATCATTCGCTTTGTGTGAGAAACCAGCTGCAAGCAACAAGCTGCATTGGCTGCTCTGCGGGTCAAATGTTGAGCACGCAACATGCATAGAGACATGTTTACGTGACCAGGGAGACATGTTGCCTGGAAAACCACTTCAAATTAAAGGTCAGCCTGAGGTAGGCAGCCAATCAACGGCTCGCTGCTCGTAACTTTATAATCATTTTCAACACATTCTGCTCCAACTCTTTTATACTGTTTTTCTTGAATTACCCCTGCTGCTTCTCCTCCCCCTCCGCCGCTCTCACGACAACATCTCAGCTCTAATAATCATGACTTGTTAATCTTTACGCTTCTGCCTTCACACTCGCTACCATCTGGCCAAAGCACATTTTCTCAACCTCTTTTTTCCCCCAACGCCTGCTGCCCCCCACCACCGCTTCCTCTTCCCTTTTCCTCTTTCCCTCTTTTATCTGGTGCTTGTCACGTCTGGCCAGCTGCCTGCACCACAGAAAAAGGTAAGTATAAGAAGCAACAAGCTGGGCATTTAACGGTGTATATGTTCTGTTTATGCTGCTTCCATGTCTTCTTGCTGTTGGAAGAATATTTTTCACGCATTATTATTATCATTATCGTTATTATTTTTATTATCATAGCTCAGGCAACAACACCATCTTCATCATCATCAGCAGCAGCAGCATGATATAAGTGGAAAAAGCCATTGGAACGTTTAGTTTTCAGTTTTTCCCACCTCTTACTTGAGCAGTTCCATTTTTGTGGGAAAACCCTTTTCCACTCCATTTCAATGCCAGCCAGCGCCATTTTTAAAGTTTTCTTAAGCATTTCTTGTGGTTATCCTTGGCCACAGCAAAACACTTTCATTCGTCGCATTACTTTTTGTTAGGTTTTTTCGTTTTTCTTTTTCTTTTTCGGGAAAATCACCAAAGTAAAGTCCAACCTTGAGCAGACGTTGCCTTATCGTGGGTGTTGCCAGAAATGCGTTGCTTGCAGACGATTTGCACCTTACCCCTTCGCCTCGGCTGATTTGCCGCTTACATTTTGCTGTTTAGTGACTTGGAAAAGCGCATGAAAATTCGTTTTTCTTTTATTTTTATTTTGCTTGGCTATTTTCAAGCTATTTTTTGGCACTTAACCAAGGTTAAGTAAGCTGGAACAAGCTGTTTACGCTGTAAAAGACTAAGAGCTTAAGGCATTCTATGCCAATTGAAAATGAAAGATAAATTTCTAGATTTGGAATTCAGCTTGAAATGAAAATTAATGGAGTATTTTTACAAGTCTTGAATTTAAATGTATAGATAGATTTCTTCAATTAAATTTTGTATGTTGTGGTATTCTGTCTCCATTTTCTCAGATCTCGCATTTTTTATTCGTTTGTCAATTAACATTACCTGGAAAAGGAGCTTGAGGCTTTTCTTACAATTTCTGATTCCATTGTTGACCTTTCTGGTTTTCTAAAGCATTTTCGACTTTTTTTCATCAGCGCCTGCCATTCGATGTTATTGTCAAGGTCTTTGGTTTGGACTTGTCTCTGGGCTTCATTTGGGTTTATTCACTTTTATGGCATCTATGGACGCGACAGCTGAGCACCAATCGAAACGCAAGACTGTGCAGCGAAAAGCAAAACAAATGTAAGGAAAAGCACAACAGAGAGGAACATGAACTGCGTTAGTTTGAAAATGAAATTGAAAACGTTACGCATGCGTTTTCAATGGCTCCAACGGGGGCAGGAGGAGCACAGGAGAGGGACTCTCTTCGCTGCTATTGAATGACACAAAGCATTAGGAGAAATAGTTGATGCCGCGCATAGACAAACGCACTGAAGTAAATGGAAAATTGCATTCACAAAAGTGCAGCAGCTGGAAACGTGAGGTGAAGCAAAGCCAGATGCCGCCTCCATCTTCCTCTTGGACTTGGATAACCCAATGCCCCTTACGGCGCCTGCTTCACTGAGGAAATGTGATATGTGCGCTCGCTCTGTCTGCTTTGTCATCTCTTTCGTTTTTGTTTTTCTCTCGCGAAAGTCAATAAAAGTGGGAAAGTCCACAGCGGCCTCGGTCAGAAGTTGTCCAGCTATAAGCGTGTCCAAACGCCAGGATTACCAAATAGCAGCAGGAGCAGGAGACAGGACGCCAAAGAGAGATAGGAGCAGAGGACTTTTGTCATGTCCGCGCGCATATCGGTTGCCATCTTGTGGCTCATTGTGGCCAGGCTGGAAGGTAACACAGCGGCTGGCAACAGTGGCGAAAGGTAAGGACACCAAACCAAAAGCCGAAAAAAAAATAACAGAAATGAAGAAGAGTAACGGTTGTAACTAACTGCGCCATACTCTCTCTATCCATATAATTGATGCATTGAAAACATGATTATCAAATTCACTTATCAAGGACCTTCATTAGTAATACTCTAACTCAAAAATAGACACGAATCTATGTTGCAACTTTATAGCTTTCCAGCTCTACTTGCACTTTTACCGAACCAATATACCCCTTTCAATCACACACAAAACCAGCGCATTCAAAGTAAATGTTTAATCTGTTTGCCCAGGGTACACATACGTCTGCACATGCCGGAAGTTGTGCGCCAGCACACGCACTTCCACAAGGTCTACAAGCACTTCCCCCTTCCCGTGGCGCCACCACAACAACTGATGCCCGTTGCCGCACCGCCCATGGGCAAGCCGCATGTCTCGCTGCTGGGCTACACGACAACGGCGAGCGGCAGCGGCGGCATGGCGTCCAGCGTAAAGCAACTGATGGCCACGGCCGACACGCCCATGGCCATGTCGATGGCCACACTGAAGCCAAAGTATGGGCCCGCTCTGTTTGACAACTACAACCAGCAGCAGGGGGCAGAGTTGAAGGCGACATTACCATCAACGACGCCAGCTACAGTGAAGCTTGGCAGCAGTGTCAGCAGCAGCAGCAGCAGCAGCAGTGGCAGCAGCTCAATGCTACAGCAGCAGCAATTGCTGCAACAGTTGCTGACATCCATCAAAGCTGCACAGCAGCAGCGCTTGCAACAGCAAATGGAAATGGAAGCGGAGCCGGAGACTGAAACGGAACTGGAGCCGGAACTCGAGAACAATGAGCTGCTCAATGGCAACCTGATGGCTGCCCTGCAGCGCGAATATCTAGCCAAGTTCACCGGCCGACAGCAAAAACGCAAGAAGGTCAATCACTTGAACAAGCCGCAGAGCAGACCCAGACAGAAGCCGCAGCAGTTGCTGTCGAACAGCGAGGAGCAGTTCGACGATTACCAGGACGAGATGGACACGCGCTACGCGGAGCCAGATGAGCCCAACGAACAGTATCTGGATGCAGCCAAATCCTGGGCTGAGCTGGGCGAGAACGAGGACGACAGCGCCGCGGCATTCAGTGGACAAAATAATGCGCTTAGTTCGGTCCCCAGTGTCGATGATTTCCTCAACGAAGTCAGCGGCAAGTCCTATGCGCCCTACTATGGCAGCATGTACAATCAATATGGCAGCACTGCATACACGGACAGCAGATACAACGAATATGGCAACACTGGCAGCATGTACAATGACTATGACAACATCGATCCCACAGGCGGGTCTGTTTGGCAGGCCACGCCCACCGCTGCATACAACAGCTATTCGCGACCCACTCAGGCCACGCCCATACGACCACGACCACGTCAGCGAGCACGGCCAAGCGCTCCGGCTACCAGCTCGACCAGTCCAGCACAGAATGGCGGCAAAATGAGATACGTCAAGCTGACGACACGCAAGAAACGCAAGAATCGCATCAGAGCGAAAAGATATCGCATTTAGAGATAGGCTGCGCAGTTACTTATTAACGGTTAGCATACTTTTCTGAGTCACTCTGCAGTTGGATCGGGCATCTAAACTCAAACTTAGTATTACCCACATATAAATATTGTTATGTTTTGATGTTTTGTAGTAAAGATTTTAGTAGGAACGCAGCAAATGCTTTCTTTTCTCTTTAGTTCTTAGAGTGGGGTATTTGGGATATTCGTTGTTCAACACTGGAAAAGGCTGCATTTGTTAACCATAATATGCATAGAGTTGCCATCTTTGTTCGAGCTGTCCAATAAGACGTAAACGTGATAAAGAATGCTAAAATTTCTTTTAAGGAAAGTAATGAGAAAATTTAACAGCAAAAATACATTTCTATATGACAGAGCTGCCATTTACTTTAAGGAACTTAATTGAATAATCTATAAAGTAACCAGAAAACTCAGCTCTCAGCCAGAGGTCCATATTTAGTATCAGGAAATATTTTATAACATTAATGAAGAAGCCATTTTTCATGGATAACAAATTTCAGTTTTAACTTCCTTCTTAACCACTTTGTAATAGTTCGCCTACATATGCCAAATAATCTTGTAAAATCTATGAGATCAACTCAGTTAAGCACTCTTACCCATTTTAGAGCGATTTCACGCTTGAATTCCTAAACAACTTCAAATTCCAATCACAAGCACTTACCTGTAAAGAGATAAAAGATATAAGAGAAAAGTTAGTCAAATGAAATTTTTGTAATATTTCAGGCAGTAGCACTTAAATAATCATAGTAATTACTAAATACAATTCCATGATGCCTTTTTCATCTAGTATCCGGTGTCTCTAGCCCATACGAAATTGCTCATCCAAAACAAATAGCATATTCTATTAGCACACAAAGGGCCAGAGGACTTCTCCCCGCCCATAGGAGAGAACGACAAACCCCAGAAAATAGCTGAGGAAATAAAGTATACGATTAAATGTGCATAGCGAGAGACGAAGCAGGGGAAAGCAAGAAGAGCAAATAATAAGTACAAATGCTAATAAAATTCAATTAAAGGCCACAAAATTACAATAAAAGTGGCTGGGAAACTAACTCAGCAAAGGGTCGGGTCTAGCTGGTCAGAACAGAGCCTTAGTCGCCATGGCATTGTGACCTCGGCGAGGGCGGGTTGCGGGTGTCACATGAAAAGTCAAAATTAACGACTCATTTGGGCAAATTGAAGCCATAAACTACAAAGCAGAAGAAGCCAGAGCGAGCCAGCAGACCCTCCCACAGAATCTGGAGCTGGCACTAGAAGGAAGCCGAAATGCCAACCCTCAGTCCCAGCCCCCAAAGCACTGACGTCACTAAGCACAGCAGCCAAAATATAAATTACGCAAAGATTCCAAGTGAGTGACGAGCATATAGCACAGGCGAGGGATGAGGCTAGGCCAGGCCGGGCCACGCCAGGACAGGGGCTATCAGGCTAGTCGAGCTGTAGCTCTCTATGGGGTGTTTCCGTTTGCCTTGTAGCTGCCGCTCGCTTTGTTTATGTGCTCGGTCTCATCCTTTATTTTCGTTTTTGGCAATAATTTTTATTTCATTTTGCTTTCGCTCATAAAAATGTGTCACACAAAACGCCCACCCACGCGCCCAGCCTCCACCTAGCTGCTAGCTCTCTGCCTTCTTTCAAGCTGCATACTTTCAGGCAAAATTAAAAGCGTGCAAGATTTTCATGTGTGTGTGTGTTAAGTGTGAGCGAGACGGACAGCAAAACTTGTTCCTCTGACGGCTGTATGCTACGGTGTGGGCGTGGCATCTGGCATATGGCAAGGCGACACATAAAGTGTTGATGTGTCAGCCATATGACATTTATTGTTTCAGAGGAGTGAGCGCTGACGGAAATTTTCCCATGTTCCATCCAAACGTTTATTATCGCCGCCAGATGGCGTCAGTGTGCCGCAACAAGTAGAATCCTCGCGTGTGGCGAGTGTGAACCGCAAAGAGCTCCGGATGCGTACGATGCTGGACTGACCCGTTTATTTGACGGCCATGTTTGCTGTGGTCTACCATTCCAATCAATTTGATCAAATAAAATATACATATATATATATATAAGAGTATACATTTCCCTTGCTCTATTTATCTGGTTGCAATATAAATGGCTATTGCAAATGAAGTTCGACGAGCCATTTCAATTGAACTCGTGCTTTTTTGGACAGCTATTGCTAGTTATTAAAAATTTCATATTTATATATAAAATTTAGAATTTGGAACTGAACGTATTTAAATGCATATGCAAACCAGCTTAGCTTGACCTATTTTATTCAGATTTTTTTTTTTATCGTAAATTCAAATTTTGCTTGAAAATGTATTCAGTTTGGTTGTTCAGTTGTTTCCAAGTTGGCAGCACTTTGAATACATTTCTATATGTATAAATACTCATATATATCTGCACAAATTTCTAAGTTAAGTGAAACGTTTATTGTTTTCCATTAAAATTTGCCTTTTGTTTAATGAGCGTATCATAAAACGCGCATTATAACGGATGAGGGGATGCAGCGATCCACAATTTCGTGTATTTTTTTTTTATAGCCCCAACAAAAAACTTTATAAGCATCATAAACGAAGTGACATAGTAACATATATTTATATATATTTATATCAAAATTATACTATATCGCATCTCTTGCATTTAATTTCATGTTTTCGCAATATCAAATTAATTCGCCAGCTGGTGGCGCTGCCTCCCGCTTGAGCAGACAGCATTAAATGAGATGAATAAATAAATATAACATTATCACTGCAATTTCGCCTCAAAGCATATCATTTGTCATCCAACGGGGACTGGAGTCAGGGCCACAATTCCAGTCCGTAGCCTAGTTTCGTGTTAGTCAATCCTAGCGGGCTGTGGCTGGCATAAAAATGCAATGGCAAACAATTCATTAATTTAATTAATTTGTGGCAATTAAATGAGGCTCACAGAGAGAGAGAGAGAGAGAGAGCGAGAGATATATGTAGAGTGAGTAGAGTGGATGTTGCTGCTGTTTGTGCCCCATGGGGCAACTAGAAAAGACGCACAGTCATCATCAAGTCTATGCGCGGGTCATTAGTTATACGCATGTATCTAGGGGCTTCCCCTTCTCTCTCTCACATTCTCATTCTCTCTGCTTTGTCTGTTTTATTTTCGACCTGCCCATCATCTGGGGTCCTATCAATTCCACAGGACGCGCCCTCACATTTGACTGCTGCTGTTGCTGCCACCAAAATGGGCTGCCCGTTACGAAACGCAAATAACAACAAGCTGGCTTCCATTGTTCAAGGTGTTGAAATGTGGCACTTAACTGTGACGCAAATCCAACACACACGCACACATATATTTATTTACCACGTGTCTACTAAATGGGCAGGTGTTGCGGCACTCAAAAGAACACGCCGTATTCGAAGCAGACAAAGACCAAGACGAACGACAACTATACACAACATACTTCAAATGCTCTTAATTGCTTGTCATCGCGTCGAGACAAGCCAAACGAAATGATTCAGCTCATGATATGATTAAAGAGCGCCGTGTGCTTGAGAGAAAAATACATTATAATTACAGGTATCAGAAACAGGTAAAAGGTGTTAGCTCTTGAACACTTTAAACAACAAAATGTTTCTTTATATTGCAATAAAAAACTCCTTTGTATGGAAGAAGCGAGACACAAAATGAGAAGAATGGAGAGCGAGAGATTGAGAGAGGGAGATACATAATAATATCTATAGCAATATAAACTATTAACATATATACTTTTCGCCCCAAATACTTTAGAGAGAGGGAGATATATAATAAAATATATATTACAATAAAAAGTCTATAATTATATATACTTTTCGCCCCAAATACTATAAATATTTGTTTTATTTATATCGCTTGTATTACTATTGTTATTCAGGTCTATTGGGAATATTGCGAATGAATATAAAATGTATGTATTAATAAAAATTTATTATTTTAGTGTTATCAAATTAAAATATCTAATTTTGTATTCACCTGGAACCACCTAAAAAATGCACAAAAAATTTCTTTTTTTGTATTGAAAATACACATCTATTTATTTTTTCAGCCATTTCGTTATCTCGCCAGCTTTTACAGTGACGAGCAAAACTGTAACACGAATTCAATGTTGCGACTTCAAGAGTCTGTATTTTTGCTTCTACTATATGGATGTTTAAGATCTTAATTTTATTTTGTTAGTATGGTATTTAGCTGTYTTACCTGAAAATTTGAAATCATTCGGTTGACTGGAATAATTATAAGAAATAAAAATGTAAAGAAAGTCAAATGTTACAGTTTTGCACCCGGGTCATTTTTCAACAAATGTATTTATTAATAATTTTTTAATAATTAATGCATAACACTTTTGACTTTTTTTGCTCAATAATGTCATTTGCCATCATTTTTGTGTACCGTCGCACCATTTCAGCAAAGTCGCGCACCAAATGTCCTTGTTCCTCTCCCACAGCTCTTTCATTCCATTTGGAGCCACCCATAATTCGCAAGCTGCGATTTCACATGACTCCATATATTTTCAATGATATTCATGTCTGAAGAGTATTCAGGACACTTCAGGGACTTGAATCCNAAAATATATGGAGTCATGTGAAATCGCAGCTTGCGAATTATGGGTGGCTCCAAATGGAATGAAAGAGCTGTGGGAGAGGAACAAGGACATTTGGTGCGCGACTTTGCTGAAATGGTGCGACGGTACACAAAAATGATGGCAAATGACATTATTGAGCAAAAAAAGTCAAAAGTGTTATGCATTAATTATTAAAAAATTATTAATAAATACATTTGTTGAAAAATGACCCGGGTGCAAAACTGTAACATTTGACTTTCTTTACATTTTTATTTCTTATAATTATTCCAGTCAACCGAATGATTTCAAATTTTCAGGTAAGACAGCTAAATACCATACTAACAAAATAAAATTAAGATCTTAAACATCCATATAGTAGAAGCAAAAATACAGACTCTTGAAGTYGCAACAWTGAATTCGTGTTACAGTTTTGCTCGTCACTGTATGCTATTTAGCATATGCACTGGGGGTTGTATTCCCATGACCCCAAACGATTAGTCCGGATCGCATTTGCATAAATAAAACCCC